AACCTGTAATTAAAAAACTCTCCCTCTCAAAAATTTCCAGGTCCAGATGGTTTCACTCTGGAATTTTACCAAACATTACAGAATTAATACCAACTATATATAATCTCTTCCAGAAGATGGAAGAGAAGGGACCATATTCCAATTCATTTTATGAAGCTAGTATTACCCTGATACCAAAACCAGACAAAGGCAGTACAAAAAAGAAATTTACAAATATCCCTCATAACTACAGAAGCAAATACCTTTAATTAAATATTAGCAAATAGAATTCAACACTGTATAAAAGGAATTATACATCCTTACCAGGTAGGGTTCACATCAGGAATGCAAGGCTGTTTTAATATTTGAAAATCAATATTATCCACCAAATTAAAAGGCTAAAGAAAAAAATCACATGATCATATCAATTGATATAGAAAAAGCATTTGACACAATTCAACACACATTCATTATCAAAACTCTCAGAAAACTAGAAATAGAGAGGAACCCCTCAACTTGATGAGGTACATCTACAAAATACCCACATCTAACACTATTCTTTATAGTGAAAGAATGAAACTTTTCTCCCTAAAGCAGAAAAAAAGGCAAAAATATCCACTCTTACCACTCTATTTAGCATAGCATGGGAAGTTCTAGTCAGTACAGTAAGCAAAGGAAGGAAATAAAGGGCATATAAATGAGAAAGGAATACATTTTTCCTAGCTTCAGATGACATGATTTTCTACATAGAAAATTCCAAGGAATCTACCAAAACAAAACCAAACAAAAACTTCCTAGAACTAACAAGTGAGTTTAGTTAAGATTACAGGATACAAGATCAACACAGTGTATTTTTATATGTTATCAATAAACATTTGGGCATTGAAATTTAAAATGTAATACTACTTATATTTGCTCAAAATACAAATTAAATGGGGCACCTGGGTGGCTCAGTGGGTTAAAGCCTCTGCCTTTGGCTCAGGTCATGATCTCAGGGTCCTGGGATCGAGCCCCACATTGGGCTCTCTGCTCAGCAAGGAGACTGCTTCCTCCTCTCTCTCTGCCTGCCTCTCTGCCTACTTGTGATCTCTGTCAGTCAAATAAATAAATAAGATAAATATTAAAAAAAAAAAACAAATTAAATGCTTAAGTGTAAGTGTAACAAAATATGTACAGGTTATATGCAGAAAACCACAGAATGCTGATGAAAGAAGTCAAAATCTAAGTAAATGGAAAGACACTGAATTCATTGATTGGAAGAATTAGTGTAGTAAATATGTCAATTCTTCACAAATTGATATATAGGTTTCACTCAATTCCTATCAAAGTCCCAACAACATTTTCTGTAATATTGACAAGTTTACTCTAAAATCTATTTGGAAACAGAGGAATTAGAATAGTTAAGATGATTTTTTCTTTTCTTTTTTTTTTTTTTCCATGCTCTATGTGGTACTTGGCCTTGAGACCTTGGGATCAAGAGTCACATGCTCTATCAACTGAGCCTGCCAGGCACCCCAATGCAAGTTTTGTTTTTGTTTGTTTGTTTGTTTGTTTTAAGTAGGATCCACATCCAGCATGGAGCCCAATGCAGGGCTTGAACTCACGACCCTGAGATCAAGGCCTGAGCTGAGATCAAGAGTTAGGCACTTAACTGACTGAGCAACCCAGGAACCCCACCCCAACACAATTTTTAAAAAGAAAAATAAAGTGGGAGGACTCAAAATACCTAATTTATTTTATAGCTTCAGTGATCAACACTGTGTGGTATTGGAGGATGTCTAGACATACAGGCTGATAGAACAGAGTAGAACACTCAGGAATTGGCCCACACAAACAGACTCAACTGATTTTTTACAAAGGTGCAAAAGTAATAATGGAGAAAGTGTAGCCTTTTCAATGGATGGTGCTATAGCAAATTGGACATCATAGAGAAGAAAAAAAAACTCTACCAAACCCACAAGTTTTATATAACAAATAATTTCATATGGATTCACAGATTAAAAATTAAATGGAAAACTATAAAACCTTTACATAAAAAAATAGGAGCAAATCTTTTTGAGTTTTAGGACCAAAGAGTTCTTAGACTTGATGTCAGAAGATTGATCCATGGAAAGAAAAGTTGGCTAATTGACTTTTATCAAAATTGAAAACCTTATTCTGCAGAAGATTGTTAAGAGGTTGAAAAGACAAGCTGAAAACAGAAAATATGTGGAAACCACATATCTGACAAAGGACTAGTATCTAATATATATTAAGAAATCTCAAAACTCAACTGCAAAAAAAATTCAATTAGAAAACAGGCAAAAGAAATGAACAGACATTTCACCAAAAAGGATATATAGATGGCAAATAAGCGCATGAAAAAGTGTTCGCATCATTAGCCATTAAGGATGTACAAACCTCAATGAGACATGACTACACACCTGTCTGAATAGCTAAAATGAAAGATTGTGGCAACACCAAATATTGGTTAGGCTGCAGAGAAACTGGATCATTCATATACGACTGATGGGAATGTAAAATGGTATAGCTACTCTGGACAAGCTTGGAGTTTCTTTAAAAACTAAACATAGATTCATCATATGACCCAGTAATTGAGCTGCTAGGCATTTATCCCAGGGAAATTAAAACTTATGTTCACACAATAACTATACATTAATTTTCATAGCAGCTTTATTTGTAATAGATAAAAACCTGAAGCAACCCAGATGTTCTTCACTGAGTGAATGTTCATGAACTCTGTACATCCATACCACCACAATAAAAAGGAGTGAATTATTAATACACACAACTTAGAGGGATCTCCAGAAAATTATGGTGAGTGAAAAAAAAGCCATTCCCAAAAGTTTATGTACTGTATGCTTCCATTTATATAAAGTTCTTGAAACGATAAGATTCTAGAAATAGAGAACACATTAGTATTTGCCAGGGGTTATGGAGGGAGTCAGGGCTAGAATGAACTAGGTGTGGCCAAAGTGTAACATCATGAATATTCACGGTGATGGAAATGCTGTCTTCACTGTATCACTGTCAATATACTAGGTGTGATACTGTAGGATAGTTTTGCAAAATGTAATTATTGGGGGAAACTGGGGAAAAATGCACAGGATCTCTAAGTACTATTTTTTTATAGTTATGTACGAATTTACAGTTATCTCAAAATAAAACCTCTACCTTAGAAAAATTGCCTTAAACCTCAGTGAATTCACTGTCCTTCAATACACCTGGCTAGTTTCAGTCCTTCATTTGGCTCCATCTCCTTACTCCAGCCACCTCCTTCTCAACAGATACCACCACCAACAGCCAACATATATTGGGCATTTGTTCTGTGACACCTTTGTGTACTATATGCAGTAAGAACTTTATATGTATTAACTCATTTAGTCTTCATAACAGACAACTTTGAATTTTATTATTCATAGGAAGTAGCAGCCTCAGAACCAGTCTCTCTAGTTCATCCTCAATCATCCATTCCTTTTCTTCTTCTTCTTTTTTTTTTTAAGATTTTATTTATTTATTTTACAGAGAGAGAGAGAGAGAGAGAGCACAAGTAGGCGGAGAGGCAGTCAGAGAGAGAGGAGAAAGCAGGCTCCCCACTGAGCAGAGAGCCCGATGCGGGGCTCGATCCCAGGACCCCAGGATCATGACCGAGCTTAAGGCAGAGGCTTCAACCCTCTGAGCCACCCAGGCGCCCCTTTTTCTTCTTTTAATAGTGAAAAATACCCATTCTCCAGATTAAGGGCAATCCTTTCATTTAGGCACAGGATCCTGTCTTCTCAGGATCCTAACTCCTTCCAAGATCCTTCTTGTATTTTATTTATTTATTTTTAAGATTTTTATTTTAGGGAGCAGGCGCGTGCGCACTGGCGCCCGGGGGCAAGAGAGGAGAGATGGAGAGAGACACTACAGCCCAAGGGGGCTGAGTTCTGAGCCCTCTTGGGGCTGCATCTCACCGTCCTGAAACCATGAGCTGGGCAGAAACCAACAGTGCCACGCCTAAGGGACTGAACCACCACGCGCCTCTCTCCTTCTTATTATATTCTAAACGCCCGCCTTCCTGTTAAGAGTTATCTTGTTTGAATATAGGTGTGTTCCTATCTCCTGCTGCCATTAAAAAACAAAAACAAAAAATTTCCCCCAACCTCACTTAGCAGCAACCATTCTCACTTCTCTTCACAACCACGTTCTTAAGAATTGCTCACATTTAGGGGCGCCTGGGTGGCTCAGTGTGTTGGGCCGCTGCCTTCGGCTCAGGTCATGGTCTCGGGGTCCTGGGATCGGGTCCCGCATCGGGCTCTCTGCTCAGCGGGGAGCCTGCTTCCCTCTCTCTCTCTCTGCCTGCTTCTCTGTCTACTTGTGATCTCTCTCTGTCAAATAAATAAATAAAATCTTTAAAAAAAAATTGCTCACATTTATTCTAATTCCTAAATTCCATTTATTTCATAGCCCACTCCCAACTGGTTTCTGCTTCTACTCTATGAAAGCAGAGCTCTTTGCAGCATTTGACACACCATATTCCTTCATCTAAACTCTAGGCTTCTCTGACATCACCACCCTGTGAGTGTTGAGGTAAGTGACACAGGTGACCTAAAAAGAGGAAAACGAATGTGAAACAAAGTAGGACATGCGAATGGCCAAGGAGGGAAGGGTGAGTAGCGACTGTTACTTTCTGAGAGGGGCCTCGTGAGACCGGAGACAGAAAGGGCCACATCAAGCATTAACACCAAGTGACCGTGACTTTTACCCTGGCTTTCACCTTCTTTCTTCCCCTATCCTTTGAGCGCCTGCGGGTAGTCAAGAAAGCGAGAGGGTTTGGGCCCGTGCCAGGCGGTGGGGGCCGGTTCCGTAGCTTCGAGAAGGGAGGGCTCTACCGGTCCTGCGGACCCGGCCGGGATAACGGAGGATGAGGCTCCGCTGTCGCCGGCGGAACTTGTGCGCGGAGCCGGGGTTGCAGCTCCGCCGGAGGCTGCAGGGCAGCGGACACGGGCGCGCATGCGTGGCAGCGCTTCCGGCCCTGGTCCCAGCGCGAGGTTTGCTGAAGTGCGGGGACGCCGCTGGAGGAATCGTCGGTGGACTCCGGGGTGGGCCGCGGCCGCTGCGGGTCTTTGAGAAGCCCGAGACCAGCGCGGTATACCCTGGAGGCGGGTCGGAGGCTGGCCCGAGACTCCGCCCGCCGCTGGAGCTGGAAGGAAAGCAGGAAGAGCTGGGCTAGGTGTGCCCTTCGCTCCCTGCCTCCCCAGGCCGGCCCCAGCCAGTGGTGCTGGAAAAGGGGAGGGGTGGGGTGGGATGGGGGTAGGTAGGGGTGGGGTCGGGGAGCAATGGGGGGAGATGCAGGTTAAATGGGTTTCTCTGCAGATTCAGTGTTGTTAAATCCTGCGAATTCACACTTTCTTAAAAAAAAAAAAATGAAGAAATTAAGGCTTAAGGAACTAGAAAGTCGCCTGCAACAAGTGGATGGATTCGAAAAGCCCAAGCTACTTCTAGAACAGTATCCAACCAGGCCGCATATTGCAGGTAGGGCGGCTGGTGACCATGTCTTTGCTTCCCGGGTTAGTCCTATCTGCTTACTCCATAATGAAAATAGAACAGTTATTTGAATACAAAGAACGTCTAGAGGAATTCTGCCCTGAGATTACATATCACGTTAGAGAGGACTTCCTTGACAAGCAGCTAAACCCAGCAACAACCCCCCTCCCCCCGCCAAAAACCATTTTATTGTTTCACTGCTTGGTTTTCTGCATACCTCTTAATACTGTAAGACGTCTCTTTAATGTGTTTGTTTCTCTACACTATAAACTCCTTGAGGGTAAAGAACTTGTCAGTCATGTTCACACAATTCTGTGTCTAGAAGAGTTCCTGCTACTAGTTCGGAGCTCAGTACACGTTTGCAAAGTAAGGATCAATTTTCTATTGCAACGAATTGCAAATGCAAGGATTCCTGTGTTATACTTGCCCTAGAATGAGTACTAGAGTTGGTAGCCAAAGGACTGTGTTTAACAAATCCAGAATAGGTGCTATAAAATGAGGATGTGTTTCGGTTTTTAATGATCCAAGAGTCATCAGTGTTGCTTGATCCAAGAGATTGATACTGTGAGTACAGCAGACAATAAAGGAAAAACCATATTTAATAAACATATTGTCAAATTCATTGAGGAGTCTTGGGAAAATTAATTTGGGAATCCCTCCCAGCTTCAACATTAGTTCTGTTTTTAAGCAGCCAATGAAAGTATACACCTGCACTTACCACCAACATATTGTCATAATTCCAACCAAAAACTGGCACAAAACTGTCTGGGTTAAGACCTATTTTCTCAATTTAGATGATTTCTTTAGTGTATTCTGACTGTAGGGTTTCTTAGTGAAGTCTGATGTTTTAAAAAATCCTTTGTTCATACCCAGGGTATAATATGCACGTGGACGTGCTAATTCTTTGAGATACCAGCTTCAAAGTCACTAACACTTGCAGCAGTAATTGGGATAGCAGTCAGACTGAGATATCCCTCTAACTGTGTGAAATTTTTTTTTTTAAGATTTTATTTTTAAGTGATCTCTACACCCAATGTGGGGCCTGAACTCATAACTTGAGACGGAGAGTTGTATGCTTCACCAGCTGAGCCAGCAAGCACCCCAATTGTGTTTTTGATAAAACCTCTAGTGCTAAGGCATCATGTTGGCCAGTAGTTCTTGCTGGTTCAAATATCCACAGGGAGAGATCAGTAGTTTTATTCATGCTTAACCTTTAGTATATATTCCAGACCTTTGTGTATTTGGAAGAACCCTTTCTGATCTCAGCAGCTACTGCTCTACTCCTCATTCTCATTAGTTTATGAATATATGTGTCTAAAGGCTGTATTGTGGATATAGGACTTTTCCCATTCTACCTTGCACTTAGGGTACCTGTGTTCTGGTGACAAACTTGTCAAAAAGTTCTGGACCATTTTAATGTTAATGCTTATTCAGTATTAGTGACTTACAGACTTAACAGATTTCAAAACAGTTTTGGGAGACTGATATAGGGTTGCCAAGTTTATATTTTGACAAGGAAAGATATTTTTAAAACCTGTTTACTCTCACCATCCTTGCGAAAATATTTCAACATCAAAGAAAGAACTGATGTATGTGTGTGGGGGGAGCAGGGGGCAATGTTTTGAACAGGCTGAGGAAAAAACATTCTAGCCTTATTTTTCTCATTTTATTTCAGAATTTTGTCATTCTTCGCATTGTCACCAGAGTAGTTTTTGGAAACCACTGGTGTGTGTTATTGTTCTTGTGGTGCCTCTTACTACATAACAAGATATTATACCTCATTTAAAAAAAAAAAAATCAGAACACCATTTCGGGGAGGAATAATGCAAGACAAGAAATTGCATTAGTCATTTACATGAATTGGATTTTGGTCATCAACTTACTCTTATTCCCTAATATGTTTTTTGATCTTTTAGCATGTATGCTCTATACAATCCATAATACATATGATGACATTGAAAATAAAGTGGTTGCAGATCTAGGATGTGGTTGTGGCGTTCTTAGCATCGGAACTGCAATGTTAGGAGCGGGGTAGGTGATCCTATGTGTAATGTTTGGGTATAGGGTGGTCTGAATAAGAAGCATAAATAGGTTTAACTGAATTAGATTTATGGGACTCTACACTATGAGATGAGGGGAGCAAGAATATGATGCTGAGTACATTTTGAGTGAGCAGAACGGTAAAACAAAAAACAAAATATGGTTTGATTTCATTACTGTTTTGTTTTGGGAGCTATAAATAGTCATTCTTTATGTGTGCTTTGTATTTATAGGTTGTGTGTTGGATTTGACATAGATGAAGATGCGTTGGAAATATTTAATAGGAATGTGGAGGAGTTTGAGTTAACAAATGTTGACATGGTTCAATGTGATGTGTGCTCATTATCTAACAGAATGTCCAAGTCATTTGATACAGTAATTATGAATCCTCCTTTTGGAACCAAAAATAATAAAGGTTAGTAAAAAGACTCAAGTGTACTGATACATGTATAGAAAAGCAAGTTTTAAAGTCATTTTCTTATTGTTTGGGTTAAATGATATTGTCACTGTTCATTAAATAAACCATCTCTTACCTGTGTAATTACAATAATTTCAGTTTGTTTAATGTATGTCTAGGAAATTGAATTTTTCAGTCTTTGTTTTTCTACTCTTAACAAGGACAGTTGAATAAATAGCTTTTTTAAATTAATTTACTATTTATACTTTGCTTTCAAGAATGATTTACCTAACCCTTATAATTCTGTAAAAGATTTTATACTTCTAGAACCTCATTTTAATGCCTTAACACACCAAGAGTTTCAACATATGATCATGAGTAACAGTGACTGACTGTGGCTATTTATCCTGTGTATGCTGTAGGCAAGGAGGATAGAAAGCCTGTGAGAAGAAAAGACGTGAAGTTTACTTTTTTAAGATTTTTTTTATTTATTTGAGAGGGGGCGGGGGAGGGGCAGAGGAAGAGACAGACTCCCTGCTGAGCAGGGAGCTGGCCTCCCGCTCAAGCCCTAAGACCCAGGGATCATGAACTGAGCCAAAGGCAGACGCTTAACTGACTAAGCCACCCAGGCACCAAGAAGCCATGAATAAAGAGTTCTCCCTCCAGCCCCTGCCTGATTCTGATTGTTGCTGTACCTGTTTTCTCTTCTCCCTTGAATTGTTAATTTGGAACATTAAAATTTTTACTTTAGTCTTATTTAAAGAAGATAGTATAATTCTGGTTTTATTCTATCAACCTTAAAAGAGATATATTTTACTTTTTAAAAAAATTTATTTATTTGAGATAGATCATGAGCTGGGGGAGGGAGGGCAGAGGGAGAGGGAGAAGCAGGTTCCCAGCTGAGCAGGGAGCCCAATTCAATGACCTGAGCCCAAGGCAGATGCTTAACTGATTGAGCCACCCAGGCACTCCTATATTTTACTTTTTTGTATCTTGTCTTTTTGCAGAAGAATCTGAAGTGTCTATTTTGGAATTTGGGAAAAAAGCTTTTAAATACCTGGTATTCTTTTAATCTTTTGTTTTGGTAACAGGTATATAAAGTAAATGAGTTTTTTCTACTCTTAACAGGGACAGATATGGCATTTCTGAAGACTGCTTTGGAAATGGCAAGAACAGCAGTATACTCTTTACACAAATCCTCCACTAGAGATGTAAGTTCAAATCATCATGATGTTGCTACTTCAAAATTCATGACAGTGTTTTAAGGGTTTGCTGTGAGTACTAATTACCAGGGTATCTCTTTCTCCTGAACTTTTTAAACATCATGGCACTTAGAAACAATTTTCCCTTTAACTAGCTAGCATTTGTGATTTGTTTTCTTCCAGTCTATATAACTTCTTTTGCCAAAGATTTGCTCAGGCAGGAACCGTTACCAGGAGAGACTATAGTTCAGTAGAGAAGTGTGGTATAGCGAAGATTACACAGTATGTCCTAGTTTGCCTAACTCCTGTTAGTCCCATTGTCCCTTTGTGGCTTTGTGTGCATTAAGGGAAGCAGTAAGACCTAATTTTAAGAACTGAAGCTAAACTGATCGGAGTTCAGAACCTCCCTTTTCCATTATTCTTGCCAGCAATATAACATATGGGGGTATAGAAGATTTATTCCAGAAAATTGGGTATATTTTTTGTCAACACAACAGTGATTAAGGACACAAGACTATAGAGCCAGACTGCTTAGGTTGAAATTCAGACTACCACTTCCCTGTGTTATCTTGGTCAAGGTATTTGAATTCAGCTTCATCACCTATACTGTACTCATCTATACTCTTATAATTGGTAATGGTTTGGTTTCTTATTTTCAAAATACTACCAATCCAGCTGAAACGTTTTTAAGAGTCTAAATTCTAATGATTTTTTAAAAGCTTAAAAATTTAATATGAATATTAGCAAAAAAGTAATTCTCAATTATTTTAAAAATCAGTTCACATTAACATGTTGTTATCTTCAGCATATTCAAAAGAAAGCTACAGAATGGAAAATCAAGATAGATATTATTGCAGGTAAGACAGTTTTTAAGTTTCTCACAAAATACATCTAAACCCTAATTACTTAAGGTCAATAATTCATTAGCCCAACCAGAGTTTTAGGTGCCAAGAAAAGGTGCTGTAGAACATGTTTTCGGGGGCACCTGGGTGACTTGGTTAGTTAAGCAGCTGCCTTTGGCTCAGGTCATGATCCCAGGGTCTTAGAATCCAGCCTCATGTGGGGCTCCCTGCTCAGGGGGAATCTGCTCCCTCTCCCCACAGCTTGTGTGCTTGCTCTCTCTCAAATAAATAAAATCTTAAAAAACAAAACACATTTTCAGTTTGACAAAATGTGAGCGGTTGGTAATGGGTTGGAAATGAAGTAAAGAGAGGGTATCAGTGTTTGCCTAAGACTGTCCCAATTTATGCATTTTGCTGAAAATTCCTAATAGTGCCCAACTATTTGGTCACTCCAGACGTAGACAGAACAGTTATTTAGCATCGTAGTGATAAAAGAGCTTGGGCTTGGAGTGGGTCAGACCTGTTTGAAATCCACTCATGGAAAATACCAACAGATCATGCCTGATTACCTTTCCATTTCAATTTTCTAATTGTCCCTGGAGTCAGAGAACATGAAGCTTTTTTCTTTTAGTGGGGGATAGGGGATAATCATCCACACTGTAAGTAAATGTTTGATACATTTTTATTAGCAAATTGGGTAATATTCACAAATGCCAGAATGGGATAAACATATAACTAGAAACTAATGAAAATCCAAGTAATTCTGAAGGCTGAAATAAGTACAATAAGGGGGAAAATATTCTTTACTTGATAATAAACTGACTAGGATTACCACTGTGGTAGTAACCATATAACTAGTCCTATTCATAATTAGTAATGTAATGTGGAAAAGTCTGTCAGTCCTCCTATTTACCCAGTATTGTCATTCCTAACCTAGTTTAAGGTATTATAATATGCAACTTGGAACACCTTAGAACAACTCCAAACATACCAAGCCAGTACCTTGCTATTCCAAATGTGGTCCTCAGACCAATGTTATTCACATCCCTTGGGAGTTGAGACTTGCCTTTTAGCTCCAGCCAGACTTACTGAATTATAATACACATTTTAAGATTTATTGAAGGTTATTTGATTACACATGAAAATTTGAGAGCTGTAACCTACGGAGAATTTGTGTTGCAAAATATGAAGGTCAGGCAGTCTACTGCCATCCCTCTAAAACTGATGAGTAAATTTGGAGAACCTACATTAATTCTTAGCATAAGAAAATTGTATTTTCACTTGAGAGCTTAATAGAAAAATAATTAGCTACTTACTACCAATATTAAAATCTGGACAAGAAATTTTAAAAATAAGCATGATTGTTATGATTGCTAGCTATAGATTATTAGGAAATTAGAAAGATACCATCATCTTCTGTCCAGTTTTTATCCTTTCAAATCCTTCCCCATAACCTCAAATTTTGGCATAAATGACCAAAATAGCAGAAATGCCAACCTTAGTTAGCCATGGCTAATCTTGGGAATGTATCAGGTCTCAGTCTTTGGATAAGTTAAAGTGACAGGTCTGAAGTGTTCTGTTTACCAGGGTTAAGTACTTCCTTAATTTTGTTTTAATTTACATATGTCTGTATGTATGTCAGGGACAGCAAGTGAAATTTTATTCTTAGATGGCTTTTGTTTTATAGAGCTGCGATATGACCTGCCAGCATCATACAAATTTCATAAAAAGAAATCAGTAAGTTTCTTGATTCTGGCTTATCTTCATTCAGTACTGAAGAACTTTTCAATAAGTAATTATTTCCAATGTTATCAAGTTGCCTGAGTAAATAAAAGAAGCTAGCATAGGAGACAGAATAATTATCGATGGGATAACAGCCAGTATTCTGGTTTAAGGTATTCTTTCTCAAATGCTTTAGGCACAAAAATAAAAAACTAATTTTTTGCTCTTTTTTATATAGTACATATTTTATTAGTTTGTACTAATACATTTTCATATTACAAAGGCAATTTAGTGGAAGTCTTTTGATATTTGAATCATTTGAAATAACACAAACAGAACTATACATTTAAAAAATCTTCATTTGGATAACAAAAAGACAAAAACAAAAAATTTTCCTTTCTTACAGGTTGATATTGAAGTGGATCTAATTCGGTTTTCTTTTTAAAAGCCTCTAAAGACAAAAGCAGCTTAAAACCTAATTAAGATGAATAAAAAAATGTTTTACTAAACTACTGGTCTCCAGCACCATTTTCTGTTTTCTGTTGTTTTGGTGTAGGTTCTTCTTTGTCTGTTTCTTCTCTTGCTCTTTTTACTGGTCCTATACAATAACAGAATTTTTGTCAAGTTCACTATATAAGCATTACTCTTTTGAGCATAAGAACAAAAATAATTCTGTTTAAAAAACAACTTAAAAAAAAAAAAGCAACAACTTCCTGGGGCGCCTGGGTGGCTCAGTTGCATTAAACTGTCTGCCTTAGGCTCAGCTTATGAGCCTAGGCTCCCTGCTCAGTGGGGAATCTGCTGCTCCCTCTGCCTCTGCCCATCCCCCCACTCATGCTCCCTCTCTTTTTCTAATAAAATATATTTTTTTTAAAAAGCAACAATTTCCCAACACCAATGAGAAGGATTTTCTTAGTACAGATCTTCTGCTCTCTAAACTTAACCTTCCAAATATCTGTTTCCCACTTGTAAAACAGGATAACTTGTGTATATCATAGTCCAAGAATATCACTTACACAAAAGGTGAAAAACCATACTGCTGTTCTTTCCCATATAATTTCTCATGAAAGTACCAAAGGACTTAAAAAAACTTACCAGATGCACCATTTTGATCATGTTCATCATCACTATCAAATTTAGTTTTCTTGCCCTGAAACTGTACTTTTCCTTTAGCAGACCCAGTCTGGGCAGCTTTATTTCCCTTTCCTTTTCCTTTAAATCTGCGACCTATAGAAACATAATTGAGAAATCCATAAGAAATGTTTTAAATCTCTTGTCACTGCCTCTGAACAAGCAAATGAGTTAAAATAACCAATGGTCAAAGACAAATCAGAAATAATGACCTTTTGATTTCCATTTGTTTAGAGACTCTTGTTGATCTTCTATGATTTTTTTCAGTGCCTCCTTTTCCACATCTCCTTCTAGTACTTCCCACGTCACGTCTTTGTTCCTTAATTGTAGGTTACCATTATTTGCTTCTTTGGCTTTATCCAGTGCTTCCTTAGCTTTTTCTTTAAAAAGAATTATCCCCTATACCAAAGACAGACAATAAAAGCCACACCCTTCAGGTTTTTTTTAGTTCCATAGTTAATTCCTTCACTCAAAAACTTTTCCTACCCTGCAAATCTTCTCTGCAATTATCAATTTCAATGAATTATAAATGAACTTCAGGAAGCTATCACAAAACTTGCAGTCACAAATACCAACAGTTATTCATAGCATAACTCAGAAAATACCAGACATTTACATCCAGTGATGGCAATAACAAAATGGAAAGTAAATGACCAAGTAGAAACTATTTCATAAACACATTAATAAAAAAAAATTGCTTTGTTTCTACTAATGTTGTCTTCTAAAGTTAAGTTTCTTTGGCGTTTTAAACATTGCTAAAAAGCATATGAATGTCTCCAAACCTCTTTTGCTCCTCTCATAAAGTCTATCCATTTTATTTCACCATGACTTGAGAAAAGGATGTGCAAATCTTCTCTACAGGTCTGATCATCTAAGTCTCCTGAAAATTTCAGCAAGCAGCCAATCTTTTCTTCTAGAGATTTCTATAAAAACATACAAAGCAAGAAAAAAAAGTTTCTTAAAAACAACCACAAAAACCAGAAATGGCTTACACCACTCTATACCTAATACATGCAAAAAGCTAGAATCTAAAATGCTATTTTAAAGTAGTTTAAAACAGTTAGTGCATTTTCCCTTGTCATCCCTTGTTCTACAATGGCTTCTGATTTTAACCTTTTTAATTTCTTCAACAAGTAGTATTTACTTAAGCTGTATGTATTAGTTATTAAGTACATCTTGTTACTAAGTTATTTCTCTGGATAGGTAATGAGTTTGGGCAATACGATTGGGCTATGACTTTAGTGCAATGACAACTACAGACCTCACATATTTGCTTCAAAAAGTCCTGCTTTTTATTCTCATAAATTTGAAACATAGCTTTAGATACCAATAATATATACTTACCATTTCAGCATTTTCTGCTAACTTTTGTTTTTCTTCTTGCTCTCTACAAAAGAAATGTTAATTAGAATGTTTCCGTTTACTGTATGAGAAAATTAAATCCTGTTAACATTGATCATGAGCACACACTGCTCAATAACCAAAGCCAGTCGTTAGGTTCTCTGATTCTCATGGGTAGAGTGCAACACAATGTGCCCCCAGATTATCAAGGCAGCTTAAGATCTTAATGTTTCACTACCAAAAGAAAAGCCTGCTACTCATTTCAGAGCGCGCGTCATCAAGCTCCACTTCCGAGAACCACTAACTCTATCCCTGTTAAAACTTGAAGGAATTAAAATGATTGGCTCAACGTACTTACTGTTTAGCTCGTAATTTAGCTTCCACTTTATTTTGCTTTCTTTCTTCATTTTTTTTTGCAAAATAATCTTCCCTAAAGAACACAAAATACAGGAGCTGAGTTCATGAGAACAAAAATAAGACTGCAAATTACTCTGAATGATTTAAGCACAGGAAGGAATATTACACTTTCTACCTAAAAATTCAAAAGATGCCAAGGAAGTTATTTAGTAACAGCTTTACTAAAAAACATTTCACATTTCATAAAATATACACCTCTTAAAAGCGCATGCGTGCACCTCAATGGTTTTTAATATATTCAGAATGGAACAACCATCACTACTAATTTTGGAACAAAAAGAAACTTGATGTCTATACCAATCTCATTGATTTTTACCATTCATGTATAGGGAAAAAAAGTAAACCAGGATTTATATAAATAACTTCTCATAGAATTTTCTAGTGTTACTTTCACAAAAGGAAAAAATTCTACAATCTCTAAAACCCAAGAATAAAAGCAATTAGGAAAATCACATTAAAAAATACTTTCGAGGGGCGCCTGGGTGGCTCAGTGGGTTGGGCCTCTGCCTCCGGCTCAGGTCATGATCTCAGGGTCCTGGGATCGAATCCCATATCGGGCTCTCTGCTCAGCAGGGAGCCTGCTTCCCCCTCTCTCTCTGCCTGCCTCTCTGCCTACTTGCGATCTCTCTCTGTGTGTCAAATAAATAAATAAAATCTTTAAAAAAAAAATACTTTCGAGGGTTAACGTTAATTACATGATTCATCATAGTACATCTGTAAGTCCATCAGGTTTAGTAAATGACACTTAGAAGATTACATAATGTGAAAGTAGGGGACAATGGCCTAACTTTATCATAAAAATGCTCTGGTTTGTTCTAACTTTTGACACACACATATTAAAGAATGTGGTCCAAATCTGTACTAAATAATCCTTTCTACTAAACGAATACAAGTATATATAAACTATGAGAAATAAGAACAGACTGTACATTGGACAGGGATTGATTCTCTAACAACACAGAAGCCCAAATTTTACTATGTAGCTTGATTATATGTATTAGATGCAAAACAAAACAAAAAAACAACAAAAACCAAAACTTAACCTTTATTAACTGTTAACAGTGAAAAGGTATTAAAAAAAACACTTCCGGGGCACCTGGGTGGCTCAGTGGGTTAAGCCGCTGCCTTCGGCTCGGGTCATGATCTCAGGGTCCTGGGATCGAGTCCCGCATC